AACATTTATGTTTGTATCTTTCTATAAATTTTTTATTTTTATTTTTTTTCTTTTATAAACCCTTTCTATAATGCCTGCCCATGTGATAAGATCGGAAGCATTTTTGATATTTTCCATGCTTCTGTCTAGTGAAAAGTAGAGAAAATAAAGAGAAGATAAATATGTTAAGATTCTAGTATCAGAAATAAAACATTTAAATATTATGTTTTCATTGTTCTTCCAGATGTTCACCAAAAATTAAGAAATTCATTGCAAACTTTCTGTAAAATACATTCATTGCATGTTAATACCCTGCAGACATTTTTTATTTTCTCATATATTTCTTGAATCTTCTAGAATTGTGAGTCTATAAATCCTGCCTTCAAATCCTTCTAAACTTTCCAAGCTGCAATGTCTAAAATCCTAAAGAAAAATTATCCCTACCAATTCTGTAACAGCAAAAAGCCAGAAATATTTTGGGAAAAAGTAGGACAGAAAAAGTATAAAATTAATTTTATAGAAAAAACTGATGCACATTCTGAGAATTTTGAATATTCTGAGACAATTACATGGGAAAAACTCTTACTATGAAAAAAATTAAAAACAAGACTTTTTAATTAATTACATAGCTAATTTTGGTTTTGCTAAGAGCTGTTTTCATAAATTGTGCTTTATAGCATTATACCTTGTTTATTTTTCAGATTTAAAATGGTATAAATAAGTTGCCAAAATGAAACTTTTATAATATTACAGGAAAAATAAAAATGTCTTATTTTAATGTTTATATTTTAAATATAATTTCAATATATTACCATTATTTTAATGAAATTTATTAATGTTACGATGTTTTAAAAAAAATTTCGGAATTAAAAAGTTTCTATAGAGATTAATCTTAAAATCGCCAAAATGCTGAAAAGTCGGCAAATTTAGAACTGTTTAATAAAAGAATTCACATCCCCAAAAAGCGAAAAGTTGTTTAAGAGCTCTTTACTAGAAAAAATGAATTTCGAAAGGCTTATGTTTCACTTCTTGCCTAGAAACTTGAGTATCCCATCATTTATATTAGAAATAGAAACAAATTATAACTCATGAACACATTCAAAAGATAACGATATATATGGCAGTAAATCGACAAAAATATTCCTCAAAATGCTAATTCACATTCAAAATGACAGTCGTAAAAACAGACAGAAATTTCAGATGATTAAAATTAAGGACCTTCTGCTGACTTTGGCCAAAATTAAGGACTTTTAAGGACCAAAAATCGATTCCAAAAAATCTAAAGACTTTTAAAGACTCTTAAGGACCGTACGAACCCTGTTTCATGCTTTTCAACATTGTAAGTACACAGGAGAAAATTTCCGGTACCATAAAACAGAATTTGGGAAGATGGCCCGTTCCCACATATTTGACATCAAAAAAGGTACAGTCAAACACCAAAAATCCACTGACCTGAAATCCACGTTGCATCTCAAAATATAAACATTCAGTTTATAGGTTGCAGAAACCACAACAAGGAGTATGAAATATCAAAGAAAAAATACTTACCAGATAATGATGTCATAATTACCGAACAATAATGAGTCATAAAAGAAATACCAAATTATTGACATCATGATAAATGTGAGGTACGCACGAGTAACGCGTACCTACAAAAGTATAGATAATCTTACCTAGAAAAATAGCAATCTTAATCGAGATAGGCATTTAACATTAAGAATGAGATTTAATAAGTAATATAGATACATAATAATGGCTTAAGCGTACAGTCCCAGATCGAAGTTACATATCACGTAGAAGGCAAAAGACGAGTTGTTTCACAGACGCACACACACAGACTGAAGTCGTTACGCAGAACTGCCGGGGAAAATTCTTCTCTTCCCGTCAGCCCGTAGGGTTGTCAAGCAGATTTACTGCTTCGCCAATTGGCGGTTTTCTCCAGAGTTTTTGATTCTGTATCGCCTGTTTGGCACTGCCGCTACAAATGTTTTTTCCCCTCCAATCTGCATTGAGGTAAAAAAGCAGATGATTCACTCAACTCTTCTTTCAAGTTCACAACTCGCGTTGTTGTACTTTCTGAGCTTTGTTATTTCACGAGATTGCCATCAGAATTATATCACTAATGAACCACAACATTTCTATCTACACCAAAGTATTCTAACTCATCTGGAATACCAATCTTGCTTCTGAAGGCAGGGAACCAATTCAAAAAGAAGAATATTATCATCTTCTTCCAATTAACAATAAACAGATAGATTAACATTGCAGCTTAACTTAAAACTCATCAAGTACATACCACACCATTCATTTTCTAAGAGCTTCATTACTTTATACCATATTTGACGGCATATAAGACACACTTTTTATCCTAAATTTGGTCTAAAAAATGTTACCTGCGTCTTATACGTGAAGGACGCAGTCTTATAAGTGAAGGTAATTGCATTCAATAATTGTTTATTTGGCTTTTACGAAACGTGAGAACTAAAAGAAACCATGCTATTGAAACATTTTTTCCTTGTGTGTGGCTGCCTAAATAAGGGTGCGTCTTATATGCCGTCAAATACGGTAATCCCTCACTCATGGTCTGTGGGCAAAAGAAACCAAGTACTGGAAAAAACTAAAATCCTTAAAAGGTATGCCTTGGGCTTTGGTATGATTGTAAGAGCAATGCTGAAGTTGCCAACCTCAAAATATGAAAAACCAGGAGCTCACAGAAGATTTTCATACTGCACAGATACCATATCAACCAAAACTGAAATATTGGAAAAGCAGGAGTTTTGGGGAAGATTTAGTATTTGTACGGCAGCACCATTAAAAGAACTCCCAATCTACTTAAAATTTACTTTATAAGGTATGATTCAGGTTATTGAACTATTTGAAACATGATTTTACATAAAATATATCAATACTCAATTTAAATATTCTAAGTTTTATGTGTACCGTGGCAAATTTCATTTCATATTTTTTTTTTACACTTTTGTACCGAGAAAATCCCAAGTATGGAAGAAATGATTCTATTTATCAAAATATTTTTAAATAGAATGGAACTAAATTTAACAATTAATATACATACAACTGGGTGGATAAACTTAGTAATCTATTATCTATTGATGCAAAAAGAAATTAAATAACAAATATTAATTAGCAATTTAACATTACTTGAAGCTTCATAAATACATTCTACAAATGCCTACAGTAGATTAAGACAATTCAGGTTAAATAAGAATTAAAGATAGTAAAAATTATGAAGAAAATCAGTATGTGTGGGGAAAGAAATTGCCATAATTTCATTTTTTGTGAGAAAATTGCTGCTGAGAATGAAATTATAAGCAACAATTATCTCAGAAATAATTAAGTTAAAATTTTTCTCAAAAATAACTGAGTTTCATTAATTCAATAAACTTCATTTATTGCTGATAAATATTTTTCTGGTGAAAGATAAAACTACGAATGGGAGATTTGATGATCAACTGTGCGACCGGGAGACGAAAAATTGGGATACTTGGTAGCTATGCAAAGCTGATATTTTCAAACCTGAAATAATATAGAGTAAAATAAATGCCCCATTTTCAAATTTTGCTTACATATGCTGTCCCAGAAGAAAGAAAATCCAAGATAAATTAATATTTAAAGTTTAATTTGAACAATGCATTGCATAAAACGACTATATTTCTACAATTTAAAATAAAATAATAAAAAAAAGTTGAAAATACTTAGATAAAAATTTAGCAAATCAATAAAAATAATTTGTCTTCCACCTCACGTCAAGTCCGTTACCTTGAGATTATTATACCACCAATTAATTTGTAAATTTGCCTAAAGGGGGAGGAGTACATATTCAAAGTATTCACACTTAGCTTAAATAGTTTATCTATGTCACTTAATATGTACTGCCTCTTTCAGACAGATTTACTAACTAATTTTGGGTAAAATAATATCGAGGTAATGGACTCGACATAAAGAGAAAGACAAATTATTTTTCTATTGATTTGTTAAAGAAAAAAACTTCTGTAATTAATTTTTATCATGAATATAACACACTAATAATTCATATTTAAAATAATTAAGCTTCTTTATTTAAAAAAAATAAATTAGGTTATAAGGATTTTTAGTTTTACTAATGTTTATTTTATTTTAAAACTTTACTGTCTTCTCTTATTTTCCTCTTCCGGCCAGAATAGACGTGTTAGCTTTATTATGCAAATTGTGCTTGCAACACTTCTGGCTTTTAGCCAAGAAGAGTTAGAGAGACAGAAAGAATTCTCGCCACCTTACTTCACATACACATAAAAATCTATCTTAGTGATAGTAGTCTGTATAATATGTCTGAGTTTAGCTCTTATTTAAATTTAGTTAGTTTGTAGTTCTTATTTTCTTACGTTCAGACCACAAAAGCTGGTCTTTGTATCCCATAGTACGGGAGCACCTGTAAATTGTGGAGAATAAAGGATAATTAAACCTTTCTCATCTTTATCATGTCTTCTTCTACAGTAGCATAGGACAGTTTTACGTAAACTCACTGTTCTACTCAGGAAACCCACATGTTTGCTAAACAGATAAGAAATAGTAGTCCTGATAAGGTTACAAAACAAAGAGGTCAAATAATATGAAACTTGAAAGGGACAGACATTTTTGCCTATGATCACACATTTTAAGATTTATATCTAAAAAATTTCAATTGATTTTTTTAAATTTTGAAATGTAGAAATATTTTTATAGTCGTCTTTATGCAATGCATTGCTCAAATTAAACTGTAAATATTAATTATCTTGAATTTTCTTTCTTTTCTTCTGGGACAGCATATGTAAGCAAAATTTGGAAATGGTCCAAAGATCAGAATGAGATGCATCCAATAGGGATATTAAAATGAGACTTTATAAACAGAATGATTCTATATCTAGGTATTTTATTGGAAGCTTTGACTGCATTTAAAAAATCGTGTTTTACAGCTACATAAATGCTCTATTGTGCAAACTTCTTTCACCTAAATATTTGTATTTTGATAACATAATCAAACTCACAATATTCCTCTGGAAACAAGAGCTTCAACATTCTGAGGATTTAGACTCAAAGCCTTGTTCAAATGAAAGAAGGCATCTTTGAAGTTCCCTCGGTTGTAATGTTCTTGTGCTTTGGCATGTCTAAATTTTGTGAAAATAAAGTCTTAGGAAGAATAGAAAAGCATAGATTAATTCAAAATGTTATTAAATTAATTTTATTTAAAAAAGATACAATATATTGCAGACAGTTAGCTTTACATGCAATTTTCCAGAACAAAAGCAGTAAGCTAAAAGAATAAAGAATATACCGCAAAGTTGTTAGAAATAGAAAGAACAGTAAATGAATATACCACAGACCGATCAGATGCATAAAGCTAAAAGAATACTATTAGAGGCAGAAATCTAAAAGAGAAAATAAATATACCACACAGTTCCAGAAGCAGAAAGCTAGAATAACAAAGCCATCAGAAACAGAAAGCTAAAAGAGTAAATGAAATATTAAACAAATCTAACACACAGCCATTAGAAACAGAAAGTTAAAAGAGTAAATAAATATACATGACAAATAAATAAACATACACTTTTACAAAACATAAGCAAAAAGTTTGGTAAAAAGAAAATTTTTTTAGTAAAATATTAAATAGGTAATTCATACAGCACATACATAGCTCAAGGAAGGAAAAAAACAAAAGAGAAATTTTGCAAATAAAAATAATTAAGTGAAATATTACTAATGCATGGAAAAAATTCATATATTAGATTTAATAAACAAAGATCCATACATTACTTGCAATATTACTAGTTACTTAAAACAAAGGCAAGACAAATGTAAACAAGGAAAAAATACATCACAATCATACTAAAAGGCTTGCAATTTAATGGAATACAGGATACCAGCTAGTTGATATCAATAGACTTAACATAAAGATAGTCCCAACAATGCTTTTAAAAATGCCTTGAAAACCAAGTACACAAAAAATGAGAAGTAGCAAGTTAATACAATTTTAAAAAATATTTATGAACTTGAACACATATTCTGTTGATTTAAAAAAACTAACAGCACAATCAACATGAAAGCAAGCCAAAAATTTAAATCAATAATAGTATTTCATTAAAAACTAGAAACACAGATATACTGTGCAATAAAAAGACAGGACATTCTGTATCTCCAATTCTAGTTAGTTATGTATTAAAATTATTGATCATTTATTTATAAATGCAAATGCTTGGTGTTCAGTAATTAAGGCATTAGCCAGCTTGCTCCTCAATACTTTTGGTAAACAGAATTAAAACCATTAGTGCACTGCACATGTTTATGTTTATTTTTTAAATTTTTAAATTTTATTTATTTATTTTCTATATGTAAGTAAATTTACCAAACACAACTTGCAGTTTTTCATAAAGCACGATATATACATTTTATTTATTCATTTAACAAATTTTCTGATGCAAATCACTTTTAATCCTATCCCACCGAAATATGATTAAATGCCAAACTGTATAAAAATTGCATGTGCAGCTTTGCATTTAATAATGTTTCAAATTTCACACTAGTTTTCATTTTGGCACCAAAAATGATTTAATTTGGTAAACATATAATTTCCGTTAACTTCGGATAGTGAATCACCACATGGTAACTTTATCATAATTTCTAAAGCTCAACTTACCAATTCCACATTTCTTAATCAACAAATGAAAACAAGATTTATGGAAACATTAACATTTCTGTTAAAGTTTTACCACCTGCCTTTTTTAAAATTCCTACTGTTATAGGCCACACTCTCCCTATATCTTGTTAAAATTTTCAATCAATTATAAAATACTTTTTATTCATCCACTTAAGTTCGAATAAATTTTTCACATATTAATTTAAATTTTTTCCTTGTATTTTAAAAATTTTTCTTTGTTGACCTAAGTAGGAATTTTAATTATTTTTTTTATTATTATTTGTTTTGCATTATTCCTCAGCACCAACAGGGTTTGGCTTCGTTTCTGGCAATAACTGCTTTTACAACCATTGGTACAACCACATTTTACAACTAATTTATTAAAATGTATTATTATTATTATTATTATTGCAATGAATTTCATGATACGGGATTTGCCAAGAGATGAAGAAATCATTACACTGTTTCTCAAAAAATAGATATACAATATTCATCAAAAAGAAAGATTGCATTCAAGTAACTATCTCATGAAATTCGAATGTTACTCAAAACTGAAATGGCTAAACAGCCTTCTTTTATGCCAGGAAGAAAAACATTGTTCTAAAACAAAAAATATGGTTTGGTGGATCACACATTATTTTAATTTGTAAGATCAATTAAAGCTTGCTTCAAACAAATTGTGACACAACAACTGATGGAAAAATTAGAGGAGTATGTGCCAATTCCACGTTATCTCATCCTGATGTTGAAATCAATGGATGCAACAAAATTATGGAAATTGGTTAAACTTGTTCACACAAAAAGGAGAAAAAAATACCGGGTGATCAAAAAGTCAGTATAAATTTGAAAACTTAATAAATCACAGAATAATGTAGATAGAGAGGTAAAAATTGACACACATACTTAGAATGACATGGGGTTTTATTAAAAGCAAAAAAAGTTCAAAAAATGTCCGACAGATGGCGCTGGACAGCAAAACGTCAGTGACTGCGCATGAAAATTGTGTATAAAAGGAGCTGTAATTGCTGTAGTGTATCTTCTCATATTGTTGTCATTGATTTGCATTGTCTTGGGCCCTCCTTGAAAGCTATGATCGCTCATCACGTTTTGCAAACTTGTCCGATTGGATTGTCTTGCTCCTTTTGGCACTTCTCTTCTTCCCCTTTCTCCGTTTTCTCATCTGAGATTTTGTCCACATCTGGATTTCTTTATATCAAGAGCCCTTGGGCTTTAATTCTGGAACCAGCAACATTGCTCTTCGCAATAGCTTGGTCAATTATAGAGTCTAAGAGAGAATCAGATGCACCAGCAGTGGCAGCATGTTGACGTTACCTGAAAAGGTGCTTTTAGTGAAGCTGTATTATCAGAATGGGGAATGTGCTAGTTCAGCGTTACGATCCTTTCGCCATAGGAAGGGGATTTGAACAGGTAAAGGTCCGTTGACAAATGCAGGTGTGGCGAGAAATGATTTCGAAGTTCGAGGCCACGGGTTGTTTACAAGATAGACCCCGTAGTGGCCGACCGAGCACAAGGCGTAATGCTGCTGATACAGTTCAAGAAGAAATGGAGACTGTAGCGGGTTCATCTATGCATGGAGAAGGGCCTTTTTTCTTCGAGGAAATGCGCGATTCTGGTTTTGTAACTGCTACCGTGACGGGTGAGAGGTACCCCGATATGTTACAGAATCGCATCGTCCCAAGCCTGGCTAATAAACACCTGCTGAAAAGTACAATTTTTATGCAGGATGTCGCTCCACCCCATATTGTTAGACGTGTGAAAGATCTCTTGCGTGCGTCGTTTGGTGATGATTGTGTGCTCAGCCACCACTTTCATCATGCTTGGCCTCCCAGGTCCCCAGACCTCAGTCTGTGCGATTATTGGCTTTGGGGTTACCTGAAGTCGCAAGTGTATCATGATCGACCGACATTTCTAGGGATGCTGAAAGACAACATCCGACGCCAATGCCTCACCATAACTCCGGATATGCTTTACAGTGCTGTTCACAACATTATTCCTCGACTACAGCTATTGTTGAGGAATGATGGTGAACATATTGAGCATTTCCTGTAAAGAACATCATCTTTGCTTTGTCTTAATTTGTTATGCTAATTATTGCTTTTCTGATCAGATTATTGCTTTTCTAATAAAATCCCATATCATTCTAAATACGTAGTGTATTCGGAAACTAAGTACCGTTTCATTCTAGCGCCGTCGCAGCGCTGTGATAGGTGTCCCGCGCATGCGCACTAGTCTTTCTTGTTCACTGGCTTTCAATTGTCGCCATTTTGGTTGCTCTATGTTGTGTTTTCAGTTTGCTGTGCACATTCAAAATGTTTAAGACAATTAGTTCTCCCACTGACTGTGAGATTCGTGCCGTGATTAAATTTTTGAAAGCGAGGAATGTTAAACCGGCCGAAATTTATCATCAAGTGACACAAGTTTACGGTGAATACGCGACAAGTGAAGGAATGTTGAGAAAGTGGGTAAGAACGTTTAATGCAGGTCGAAAAACATCCACGCTGAGGCTCGGAGTGTTCGGCCTTCTGTTGTCACCGATGATTTGGTAAGGAAAGTTGATGAAGCAATTCATGAGAACAGACACTTCACAATGACAACTCTTTCAGAGGCATTTCCACAAATTTCACGTACTGTTTTGTTCAAAATTGTGTCTGACCGCTTGAATTATCGCAAACAGTGTTTCGCGATGGGTTCCAAAATGCTCACTGATGTTCACAAAACAAAAGCGACTTGGTAGTGCCCTGACATTTCTCACGCTGTACAGTGATGAGGGAGAAAAACTTTTTAAAACCAAATTGTGACAGGTGATGAAACTTGGGTGGTGTCATTTCACACCAGAATCGAAACAACAATCGATGGAGTGGAGACACACTCTCTCCGAAAAAAAACAAAAGTTCAAAGTGACAATGTCATCACAAAAAAGCATGTGCACTTTCTTCTGGGATAGGAAAGACATTTTGCTTACTGAATTTCTTCCCAGAGGGGAAACCATTAATGCGGTACGATATTGTGAGACTTTAACAAAACTAAGGCGTGCCATTCAAAACAAACGAAGAGGAATGCTCAGTAAAGGAATTGTGTTGCTCCATGACAATGCTTGGCCCCATACTGCTGGTGTCACTTAATCGTTAATTCGACAGTTTCATTGGGAGCAGTTCGATCACCCGCCGTATAGCCCAGACTTGGCGCCGTCCGACTATCACTTGTTCCTGCACATGAAGCGCGAGCTTGGTGGCAAGCGCTTTGGATCTGACGATGACACGAAAAATGCTGTGAGTCGTGGTTATCGAAACTGGCGGGAAGTTTCTTTGACGATGGTATACAAAAACTGGTCACCCGCTATGACAAGTGTTTGATCATTGGCGGAAACTATGTTGAAAAATAGTTTAAGACATGTATTTTCATCTAAAAATAAAATTGGATTTGAAAAAATTGTTTTACTATTTTTTTTTTTTC